AACACAGGGGAGATGCCACAGCAGGAAATGCTGCTATCCAGAAATGTTGTTGGAACTGTGGAGAGCAAGGACATATGAGGAGCCAGTGTAAGAAGAATACCACCAATAAGTCAGCTTCGGGAAACCAGTAGTGGTTGGGGCTGAGTGACGCCCACCAACCCCTATCATGAAAGTCCCAACAGCTAAGTGTAAAATGGCAAGCACACATAGTGTCTACGTAACAGGGAAGCTGGATGGCCAAAGGTGCAATTTTGTCATAAATTCTGCATCTCAGCAAACCCTTGTGAGCATCAAGGTGTTAGATAACGAAGGAGTACCAGAAGCCATACAGAAGCTTTATGGTGTAACAGGACATTCTACAAGATTGTGGGGACCAGTGTGGGTAACTATTGAGCTTATGGGCATGAAGAACAGACAGAAAGTATACTTGGCTGACATTGAAGACCAATGCATATTAGGATTGAACTATCTACTACCGAGGAAGTGTGTAGTTAACTTCGATAAAATGACGTTTGGAAACAACAAAGGCCAGATTCCAGTAAGTGTTGCTGCATCCGTTGATCTGCATGTCACAGCACTTAAGTCAACTACAATACCCCCTATATCAGAGAAGATAATTTGGGGTAAGATAAAAGAACATTTCCAAGGAAGCCCAATACTTGTGGAAGCAGAGGAAGACCTATCCAGGCCAGCGGATTTGAAGATTGGAAGGTCACTTGTGGCAGGTCATCAAGTAGTACCTGTAACAGTGGCCAATTTCTCTAAATGTGAGCAGACACTTAAGGAAGGGGCATTGTTGGGTGTGTGCCAGGAGGTAGAGCCAGTCAATGTTAAAGCAAGAAGTACAACTATAAAGAAAGGACATACACTTCTAGAACATTTAACTGACTTCTATAAGAAGAGCATAGTCCATTTGTCATCATCACAGGCTCTTCAGGTAAAATAACTTTTGGCAAATTATGCGGATGTTATTTCGAAAGGAGATCATGACCTCGACTGCACAAACCTTGTAGATCACAGAATTAACACAGGCAATCACCATCCAATAAAAATCCCTCTGAGGAGAATAGCTCCAGCAAAGCGACAAGAGATAGAGAAGGTCATGGATGGTCTAATTAAGGAAAGGATAGTCGAGAAATCAGATAGTCCCTGGTCAGCTCCCGTCGTGTTAGTCCAGAATAAGGATGAGACCCAACGTTGCTGTGTGGTCTTCAGGGCTCTTAACAGTATAACCGAAAAAAGACTCATATCCACTGCCAAGAATTGATGATACTCTTGATGCACTAAGTGGAGCCAGGTGGTTTTC